AAAACCTTCTGATAAGACTAAAGGTCTATTATAAATCAAATTTACTTTCAACTTTAAAGCTAATGAACTGAACTGGCAAAACATTTCTATAGATACAAAATTCATCTTTTTCACCTATTTCTGATCTGATATAGCTTTGATACTTGTTTAATAAAACTTAAGTCTTCTAAATGGAATATCGTTATATATATGTATACTTATAAAATATATATTTAATATATTTGAAAACATTATGAATAAGTTTTTTTATCTTATATTTATCACTGTTGGGCTGGAAGTGGTATGTAGATGGTCAAAATTTGAGAGGAAACCAGAGTACCAAGAGAAAACCCATGTGGTCAGGCAGTTGACCAAATAGCTTTTCACGTCCAATCAGGGAATCAAACTCTGGCAGTCTTGGTGAAAGGCAAGTGCGCTATCCATTGCATCACTTGACCACAATTATATATTCCCCCCTAACGCAAATATGGACATGGCTGGTGGATAATAACAATAATTTGTTATAAATGCCGATTTAATAACCCCTCTTCTTCTTCATGTCTGGTCCAAAAGCTGACACATGGATGTATTTAAAAAATGAATGAAATGTGTTTCAGTCTAAAATGCCATTCACTGACCTTGGCGTCACGGTCTGTGCGTTCCCGCATCCTTGTGTCAAGGTCGTAGAGTTCAGACTGGTGGTTTTCCTTGAGATCCTGGAAGTCTTTCTCGTGCTGTGACAGGACCATCTCCTTCTGTTTGTGGAAGTCTTGTAACATCTGAGCCTTGTCATGTTCCAGGGTCAACTTCAGCTCCACCATCTACAAGGGAAGGACAATAAAAATGTGTAAATATACATACACTGTTAAGCCTAATTGATAAAATGATACTGAATGGCTTAAATTTTGATTAAAGGATTTTTTTTTGTACCGGTAGGAAAATAACTTCATGAAATATTGAAACATATCGTTTTAAGAAAGACAGTCCAATTTAAGGCCTAAAATGCCTGTCAGCATGTAAATTACAAATATGCTCTCACTACAAACTTATTGATGGTATCTTTACACAGTTGTACAACATCATTTTACATTTGGGTCTTTATGAGCCTCCTAGCTTACTGCTATACACTGTGAAACTTAAATCTTCATCTAGATAACAGTTTCAATAATTATTCATGTTTCACTAATTCAGAAAATTGATATTCATAGCCTTTACCGGTTAAACCAAAGTGTATGATCAGGTTCCATTGAAAACAATGTTCCACACACTGTTTATGAAATGCATGAAAAATTAGGTAAACAAAATATGTGGACATTATAACAGGTCACCAGTTTCACTAACCTGTCGTTCGTGCTGGGCTCGTTCATCCTCCAACTGTTTGTTGAACTCGCGGGCCTGTCTCTCTCGCGCCTGTTTAGATTTGTTTAGGTCCGTCTCCACCCTCTCCATCTACCCACACAACAAACACAGGTCTTATCTCACGATGAAAGATTCCAAAATATACTTAATACATTTTACGATTAAAATACTCAATTTGAAAATTTCACAAATTTTGAATTGGTTTTCAACTTTTCAATTAGAATTCTTCCTATGACTCCAACGAGTGGCATACCTAAGGGTTTACCTGTGCTTTCAGACGTCATCACCTCCTTCAACATCCTTGATGATTTTATGCAGGATATATCTTTTTATCGCAAATGCACACGAACCTCCATATTACAAACCCTAAGAATTCTTCTTTTTTTAAATCCATACTTTAAAGGGACAATTTAGTGAAGTAAGATATTTTTTATAACCTTGTCATAAAATTCTTCATCATAATATAGTTTGATATTCATTATGAGCAATTCATGTCGAGAAATTTACAAGAGGCAACGTTTTCTTGGCGTTTTTAATCAGTAATGTGGAAATCCTTAACTGT